GCCTTGGGTGAAAACCAAACTTTTGGGACAGTGGATGCACTGACTAAAAGCCGGGATTTCAGAGCCTCAAGGAAGGCATGGCAAACCCACCGGGGACCGTTCTTCTTAGTGTGGTCTGCCTCGTGTGTACCTTGCTTCTCGTCGGGGGCCCTTGAAATGGTTGCTGGGCCGGTGAGAAACCTTGACCACAGGTTGGGCAAGCAAGGTGTGCGTATGATCTGGTAGGTAAGGTACAGTCTAAGGTACGTACGAACGGGACTGCGGCTCGTCAGATCAGGTACACAAGCGTATCCGTTAGAGGTACTGGGTGCGTCTGAATAGCGCGAACGCAGTACGGATACTTCGTACGGATAGGATGGGACAGGAACAGGAACAGGAGGAGCAGGATAGAGCTTCGTGGTGCGGCAGACCAGGGGTTCGAAAAAGGGGCCTGGTTTATTTTTTTTCTCGCTAGGAGCTCCACCGGTGCGCAGATGTCGGGCTTGTGAGAAGTGACGGGCGTGGATTGAGAGGAGCAGCGGAAGCGTCCAGTTCGTCGACGATGCTAGACACACAGCAAATGAGGTCAGTCGCGGATCCAGGCCAAGGGCTCCGGGCCCTTCCAAGCTCCAGCAGGGAAATTCAGGAAGGGGGGGCCGAGCTTGCTGCGATTGCGATTGAAATTGGGATTTAGGATTCTGCCAACTTGGCTGGGCGATGATGGGGGGAGCGTTTGTCCCCTCTAGCGTTGACTAGGGGGTTCAAGATCGAACCAAACCAGGACACCAACGACAATGGCACCTCTTGTTTGTAGCACGGCATGTGCTGTTCCTGTTGCTTCTGGAAGGGGGCCGGGGGCCCAGGGGTTGGTAGGTTTGCTTCCTTACGTACCTTTTGGTCGTTGGAGTTGGAGTTGTGGATGGTTGAATCCTAGGCTGCGCTGGTTTGGGACCGGACTTGACCAAGTAAGATGAGGGAATGGATAGGGGTGGTGGTGGTGGTGGAGGAGGAGAAAGAAGCGTCAAGGTCCCGTCAGGAGACGAATTGAGAGACTAACGGGAGAGCGGGAAGGGGCCGTGACGATCAGGACCGCTGACCGAGAGACGAGCCGTTGAGGGGTAATACCGTAAGGTACGGATACTTTGTAGGTAATACGGAGCAAGAAATCTGAGGTTCTAGTGATTACTGTGTACGGTGTCCGTAAGGTAAGGTAGTCCGTATATTTTGCTGCCGACCCTACCGGACCATGGAAGACCAAAGGCACGGGCACGTCTGCTGGTTTATCAGCAAGTTGGAGTAGTCAAAAACAGGTGTACAGAGATAAATAAGCGTATCCGTCTCTCTGGTTGGGAATGCAGCTGATGCGAATGGATACTCTATCACCTGCAACGGGGGGGTTCAGGACAGAAACGGCTGCATGGGACAGAACTGAACGTGGATGTGGACGTGGAATTGAAAGTGGAAGTGGACGGGAGCAACCAGGGAAGCGGAGAAAGGGACAAGGGATGTTCCACTGCGCCCTGAGCAGCTGGGCTCTTTCTGTTCTATGTACTGTGTGTAATTACCAGTCGGTACCTAAGTACTTCCATTTCTGGATGAGGAGGAAGGAACACTGTGAAATCAAAGAAGGAAGCTCGGGCCCCCGGCACCATGCGGAGTGGATTCAAGGTCCATTTTGTTCGGGGCCCATCCATCCAATGACAAGACTTGAAAGCGTTGGTACCACTGGACCCCTTCGACGTCCACGGAACGTTTGAACTTTCCTTCTGCCGAATGATTGGTCACCGTTGCTGAATTCATCCTTCCTCTCCATTCAAGATATCTCAAGACCCTCAGTGGCTCCAAATTCAAGGTGGAACTTGAAAGTGCAGGGAGACAGCTACTACCTTTCTCGGTGGGTGTGGTGCGAGTCCGTAGGTACCCAACGGATACTCATACGTCCCTTGCTGCTCCAGTGGACCTCTCTCCTTCCGAAGCTAGAAACCTACTGGGCCGACCTAACTTAAGTACCTTAGACGGCTTCGATGCACCAAAGGTACCTAAGGTGTTATGCATCCGTAGCTACCACTGCTCCTTAACGCCAACCTACCTTACTACCTTATTACCTACACTACTTCCTTTCCTTGCATTGTGCAGCCCGAACTACATACGCAGTAGCCCACCAACAATCAAGTCAAATCAAACCTCGTGAACCATGTCGTCCGGGGTTGACTCCGGCTCGTTGCTCCGGGTCCAGCTTCCTCATTGCGACCAACATCACCAACTGGCGGTCTGCAAACTCTACCAGCTCAGGACTTGAACCCCAGATGAACATCCCTTTGTACACCAAGACCTACTATTATGCTTCTTCCCACTGTCCTCACGAGGTACGCTGCACTTGTCCGGACAATCTACCTTTTTCAGCAGCAAACTCACTTGCGCCGAAACCCAATACCAACTCACCGATGACGTACGGATGCCCAGTTCGCGACAAGCTCGCCATGGGTCAATCCTGCAGGGCCAAACTCATGCCCAACAAGCTTCTGTCAAGAACAATGCTGCTGGCGCGCGTACAGACACCATTCATGTCTCAAGATGAAGCACTTCAACTCGTGCCATGATCCTCCGGCGCCCATATCATCGCAATTTCGCATCAGCACGTGGTCCGCAGGCCAATAAAGCTTCCTAGCTTAGCTCCACGAGCTTCTGCAGGGTTGCTTTCACCATCAAGCCATGCTCCCGAAACGCACCATCGTTGATTCCTTCACATACTAACAGTCACAGTTTACCATGTTTGGAGCGAACCAAAAAAAAAAGACTCCAGGTTTCGTCTCGAAATAAGCGGCATTCCAAGGTGTTTTCTCCAGGAATATGATCCCGGCAATGGCTCTGAGCCGTTCCAGTAGCTCGGGACCCGGATGGTTGCCGGTCATCTTCGGTCGGCATTGGCACGCAGATCTGGCCTCGACATTCCACCAGGCCGGGTTGCGATGCAAGTTGCTCCATCTACGGATATTCCATCAGGTATCTTGCCCACTTCACGGCGGACACAAACAATATTGTGTATTTCTGTACGGAGTACGGTTGCGGCATCTTCATTCAATGTGTCCGACCTCCCTAGACATTTGACGACGCACCGGCCTCAACTCGGACTGTTGGAGCCTGGTTCGAATAAACTTCTGTCAAAAAATTGAGCACGGTTCATTGAGAAATTGCCTGGCCATCCCTCGTCCCAAGCCCTTTTCTACCTGAGCATCGCAATAATGAAGAAATGGTACCGACGTCTTCAGCTCCAATGAACCCCCCTTTTCGAACACCAGATCGCGCTACTTGATCCTGCTCCGTTTCATGATGGAAACAATTTATCGTTCGACTTTCTGACACGAAGGATTGGCAACCGGCGCTGACACGGATCGCAGTGGAAATAACGTCGTCGACTAAGTTGTGGCCGCGTTCTTGGCATCTCTCCACTGGAGGACCCTTGTCTTGGGCCACGTTCCTGCGCTTTGGCTACGGATATGGTTACGAGTGCCTCCATCAAAGTGTATATCCCAAGCTACCACATGAAGTCCTGGACTCATCCAACATCAGCTGATGACAATATCGCGGCTTTCACTTGTGGTTCTCACGATCTCGCCAGCAATTCGAATTCAAGTCAGTGCAACACAATAGCGCTGGCTCTAGCCGGCCTTTTTTCTTTTCTTTCTTGCTTTTTCAGGTCTGCAGCGGGAGAACCGCATGGTCGATAAGCGGGCCGATTGTGGCATTGGCCTTCTCAATAGACTGAAAAATGCCAGCCACGGCTTGACGACGGCGTCGTCTGGCGAACAGTACCCGCCTCACTTAGTTATACGGGCTGCTGCTATTCCAAAACCATCATGAGCTGGAATGCCATGCTCTTGTTCAAAAAATTTTGTGAGGACCGGCAATACGTATTCGAAGAGGTTGGGTTACGTGTCGAGCTGAGGGACTCGACATTTCGCCGTTGGTGGTTAGGCTACGTCTAGGTCGCAAACCACACATCAGGCCCGGCCCGGCTCCGAGAGAGAACACAAGGGAATTGGGCGTGTTAAGCAAAGTCAAAATGGTCAGCTCCGGATCAGCAATCTTTATTTCACACACTTGCAGCTGTGGCGTAGCAGAATGACTTGTGTGCCTCCAACAACTACGTACGGATACAGGGAATGGAGGGCTGCTTGTGGGGTTCGTACGCGGCAGTTCAGGGTGCCGCCAGCAACACACTCGATGGATGCGTGGCTGCATCGCCAAGCTGCATGATATGGCTTCGTAAAACCCAGCGTAGGGTTACATGGAAGGCGATACGAGGGCAAGACATGCAGACGTGCAGCAAGCTACACAAGTGGACAACCCCATTCATACGGTACCTTTCTCTCGTGATACCTCACCGAGTCTTATATGGCGTGTTTTGCATAGAGACCTTGCTGCGCAGGGAGCCGCGCCTTTTTGCGATATACGGATTGCGGTGAGAACGGTGAAGTCAGCGGACTGTGTGAGAAAAGCAACAAAGCTCTCTTGACGTACTGTTCAGTTTGTTCGGATGGCAAGCAGAATTTCTTACCAAGGCAAGCAGGCAGTGTTACCACCAACCGAGACAATTGCTGTTGGTCAGACTCAAAGTCAACAGTCTAGAGTCTAGGGGTGAGATGCTGCGGTTCTATCCACTGGGTGCGCCTATTCAGGAGATCGCGCCATGGCCGAATCCAGCGTGTGTTGCAGGAGCATTAAGAGATAAGACGACGCTTGGCGGACCATTTGCTGATCATACCCAATAGGATTAACTCTGTCATCAGTTGGGTCTAACAACCTCCCTGGGGGATCGAGTCTTCCGGTTTCGTCTGCATCTGCAGCGTTTATTCACTAACCGTCTGGATATCACTCACTGCCGAGAGCCGCTGATCTTCCTTCTTCTTTGTCTCTGATAATTTCTTTTCTCTTACTTTTTCTCCGTCGACTTACTTGCTTACTGACGGTGATTTGGTGATGGTTCCAAGACATAGGCGAGCCCAAAAGCTAACCTCACCATGCTCGATGGCTGGGATGTCTTGAGGCTTCAGATGGCGCGGTCGAACTTCTTGTCTGTCGATCTCTCCGTACCCAGCGTGACAGCCCTCGTCTGGGGTTGGAAAGCTGGGGGAGATTGGGGAGGGGGGGGGGGGGGGGGGGGGGAGGGGGGGGGAGGGGCTGGCAGCGCATGGCCGCGCGGGGGGGGGGGGCGGGGGGGGGGGGGGGGGGGGGGGGGGGGGGGGGGGGGGGGGGGGGGGGGGGGACGGTGACCCGAAGGAACGTGGCATCACCTCCACACCCTCCCGTAGTCGACACCAGCAACCTCAACCCATTGATCAGAAGACAGAAACGACGCCGTCCAACTCGGTTGTGCGGCGCACATGGAGCCACCGTGCATATCGAGCTTGTCAGGGAACTAGTCACATCCCCCTTTACCCCTTCCCCTGCCGCAGCAGACTTGCTTCTAGCCTCCAGTCTTGACATTTGCAAGAAGCGCACCACAGGCTGCCCTACAGTGACTAACGCCCGCTTATACCCTTCGACACACATCAGAAGCATGTTCAGGCGACGATGTACAAGGCATGTTGGCCATTGTCCTAGCCTCCGACCATGCTCTCATACAGAGGTCGGATGGTGAATTGCTGTCGAGGTTTTAGAACAGACAGCGCCACCGACGCCCGAAGAAGTGGTCGAGGTCCTTGAGCAGTGAGGAGAGAGGAGGAGGAAGCCGGCTCCGTGTGGTGTCGGTGAAGCGTGCGAACGCCCGGAGACAGTCCCAAAGCGGCATCCGATCACTGGTCCAGTGTAACTCGGATGACCAACAAGGCGTCTAACATGTCGAGCCATACCGCGTTTGTCCGGCCGGTTCATCCAAAAGGTAGGCTCAAGCACCACGGCCATGCTACCTTAATTTTTATTCTTCCCCCTTCAGTCCCCTGTCACCTTATTTTTTGTGGTATATTTTCTTTGCAGGTCACGATCTTGGTCGAATAAGGAATGGTTCGGGTTAGCTGGTGGTGGTGGTCTCCCGGCACCCCAGTTCATGCGCGCCCTTACTCGCCCACAGGCTAGGGCCGATATTCTAATGAAATCACATCGGACTAGTACGGAGAAGTCGGCTATTGGTACAGCAGGAGGTCGTCACGCTGAACATGTTGATACAACACCTCAGACGCAGGGTTGATTGGTGCCGCCGAGAGAAGGAAAGGGACAGGGAAGGGGAAGTACAGGAAAGAAAGAATGGGTCTAGGAGACTGGCGGTGGTATGCAAGTTTGATAGCTTGTCTGTCCCATGCGCTGCGTGCCGACAAGCGCAAAGAAAAGGTGGGCAACCCTCAGAGAACGAACTGTCCAGGGCCCTCGAGTTCCCATCCTCGCCGCTTAAGGTAAGGTACAAGTCTCCGTCAGGTAAGGTTACTGAGGATAGTAAGGCGAGGTGGGCTGGTTAAAGGTCCAATTCCCCGTCTTACAGCTCAGTGAGGCAAGGCGAGGGATCTTTTGAAGCCTAGTACCTGAAGCCAAATAAGCGGCGCGATGCGTGATGCGTGATGGAGGCGGTTGTATTTCCCAAACCCCACCTGCTTTAACTGCAATCCCGAAAGGCTCCAGAATGGAGAGTGCAAAGTAAAGCTTTCCAAGCATGAAGCCGTTCGAAAATGCTTTTCCATGCTGACGGTATGGACTAAGAACTATGGTATCCCCTGAGATTCCGAGTACTTGTCTGCCTTTGGTCTAAATGGATGCAAATGGTCTCCAATCCAACCCCCATGCATTCATTCCCATCCACACCGGGCCATGACCATGACCAGAACCAGTCAGTCCCTCAAGCCATTAAATACCATCAGAGGTGTCTAAAAATGCAACCTATGGAACGCTCGTGTCTCTCAAGACATCCGTGAACCCCCCCTTGTGGTTTTTAATTCTTCACCTTCCCATACCCCCTTCGCAAAGCCCGTCTCTTCTCGCTACCGACCACTTCTCCCTCTCAGTCACTTTTTCTTGACTCTTCAGCCTTCTCTGGTCTCTCATCTCTTTCCTCGGTCTTTCGCTAGATCGCCCTCGCATTTCTCACACACACACACACACACACAAACACCACGCAAAGTCGAGTGTGTTGTCTCTCCAAATCCTTGTTGCGCCAGACACCACCCACAAAAGCCACACCCTCCGTCGTCCGAGTTCAGCCAGACCAGGCTCCCGTCCCATTCTCTCGCCGTCACCGCGCGCGCATACGGAGAGGCATCAGAGAAAGACACAGAGAGGAGATAGCACGCTTGGTGGCAGGTCTGAAGTTTGTCCCCGTGAGGTACATATTGTCTGGGACCCTGCGGGACTAGCGACGCACACCACCGCCGACATCTTCTCTCGCATCTTTTCCGCCTTTTTTATGTTCTTTTGCTGTCTCTTGTCTCTTCTGTCACTGTTACTTGTCTCTGTTTAATCGACCTTTGCGTGCCTCACATCACACACATACGCACACACATACACAGACACCTTGCCCGACGTTATTCACCACCTTCCAACCGCCGCACTCCGGCACGCACGACACGCACGCACCAATAGCCCCCAAAACGCAGGTCCAGCGCCTGGGACGTTCCCAATCGCCGACAGGACGACAGGACCCTTGGAACCGCGAAAGGAAGAAGAGCTCTGCGACCCACTTCACCTGCCTTGGTCCAGACGGACGGTGGTGCATCTCGCTCGCTTGAGCCTTGGATTGAGCCCGCGTGCTACTTGCTTGCTTGTCCAGTTCCTACGTCCCGGTCGTATGACATATACATAACCCCAGGACACCCCGAGACCGCTGTTGAACCCAAGGGTCATTCAACTTCCCAACTGTAGATCCTTCTTCATCTATCTTTTTTTTCTCTCTCACCCACAGGGGCGTTCTCAACCGGGCATTCACGTCAAAGGAAAGCAAGCCTTTTTTTTTTTGGCAACGGATGTTACCTACATGACTACTACCCCTGCCAGGAAACAAACAACCTTAACTGCCCGACCCGACTTGCTCTGACGATCAACCCACCCCCGCGTTCTCTCAGTTCACTCAATTATCCACTGGAGCATCTCCATTCATACATAAAAAGCGCCCTCCGTCCGGAAACGCTTTTTGCGACTACGTCTTGTTTTCTAACAAACTCGGCACTGAGCCTCGTCATTCACATTCATTCCGGAATTTCAAAGATTCGAATCTCTAGTTGGAACCTTGATCCCGAGTATCGGTGGAGTAGTTTCCATTTCAGCGATCAACATGTTATACAACATGAGCTACCCTCGTGATCAGCCGACGGCGGCGGCAGCTCAGCCCATCAAGCCAATCGCCCCTCCTCGGCCGAGACAGCGGTGCTCGCAGCCGATGCCTTTCGACCCCGAGGAACTGTCTCAAAAACTCGTCAAGGTCCTTGCCGATCAGAAGCTTCACGCCGAGAAGAGAAGGAGAGCCAGGGCGGAGGCCACCGCGCCGTCCAAACCGGCAGCACCAGCTCCAGCCCTCAACGGGCTACAAGACGGTCACCCACAGCATGCAAGCTTGGCTAGGGAGTATCTCGATCAAGGGTCACTCAAGCCCGGCCAGTCCACCACCAACACCACCACCAGACCTGCGCAGCCTACCGTAAAGCCAACCAAGGAGAGGGTGGACTCTGGCAGCTCCGCAAGGTCAAAGTCCAAGACGTCCGACGCAGACACCCGCAGCTCCAAGTCTGGCGGAAAGGACTCGTCTTCGAAACGCAAAGGCTCTGACGGTGACAAGCACCCCTTCATCCCACAGTTCGCCGCGGCGCAGTTCTCGCGCACAACGACGACCGAGACGTCGGACAGCAAGGGTCTCGTTCGCAAGTTGTCGAGGACGGCCCTCAGGATTGCCCAAGGCCACCGCGAGAGGCATCAGGACCGCGCCCCCATCACCCACGAACAGATTCCGGAAATGGCTGAGCTGGGCAGCTCCCGCGCGCACCGTGACCGTAACCACCACAGACACACCATTGAAGGACCGCTGGGTGTTGGCCGGGCCGGTGAGATTGACCACACCAGATCTGCCAGGCGGGCTACAACCGGCGACATTCTCCTCCCCTTTGAATCTGGTGCTTCTTCACCATATCATCTTGATGATCCCGAGGCGGCGGATCACAACCCCTATGAGCACCGCGTGGACTGGACCCAAAGCGACGAAGCGCAGCCGCAGCCGAAGACGAAGCCGTCGCTGCGCAAGGCGGATTCCATATGGGCTCTGAAGCATAAACTCGGAGCCCTCACCAGACACGGGCGGGAAGAAAACCACTCCCGGGACAACAGCCCACCGTCCGACACCGCCTTGAGGTCGCCCAAGAGCGGATTCTTTGCGCGATTCAAAGTCAACCACTGAGCTCCGAAAGGAAACTTTTGTCAAGGGAGTAAATAGGACCCTTACCTGATGATCGATACCATCTATGCATACACGGCGCGGTTTTGCAGCACACTCGCGGTCGAACGTGTGTATCCGTACGCCTTATCCAACACAGGGCCGCCGCATAATACACGCAGGCCGCCCGCCTTAATCATACCATAACCCAATCCAAAACCACAAAACGCCCTCTCACCCGCGGTCCTCCGTCATGAGGCGTCTAATCAGCTCGGCATCCTTCTCAGCCGCCTGTTTCCTAATCACCTCTTCCGCCTCGGCCGCCGCGCTCGCCTGCGACATGAGGTGGTTAATGAGCTCGACGTACTCCCTCACGCCCTCGCCGTCCTCGCCGTCGGCGGCCCTGGCCCTCCGCAGCGCCTCTTTCCCCTTGCGGATCCCGACGTCGTGCGTCCACTGCTCCTTTTTCGGGTTCGCGGCCGCCAAAGCCCGCGCCTTCATCATGTCGTTGAGGCTGCTCCCCGTGGACTGCAGTTCCGGCGGCGGCTCCGTGGCGGCGAAGATCTCGAGGAGTCGCGCCTGCAGCGTCGGGTACCGTCGGAAGAGGTACCGGAGCTGGTCCGAGTCGTCGAGGACGCTGAAGGGGTTCCTTGGGTCGCTTGCGGCGGCGGCACCGCCGCTCGGTGCGGGGGGCTCGATGGCGGCCGAGGCGGGTTTCGGCGCCGGTTCGGGATCGGGCGGGTGGTTCTCGCGGTGCGTTTTGTTACACGGGACGGAGCAGCTGGAGGGAGAAAGGGGAAGCCCGCAAGTCAGTAAAGATAATGTATATAACGAGAAACAAGCCACGTATAATGAAGAATGAGTACTTTTGAAGAAAACGCCATGAAACAGACTCGAGCATATTTGTGAAAAAAGTACGTACAATGGTAATGCGCAGCGCGTGCACTTGTATTTCCCCTCTTTTTCGTGGCATACACCACACATCTTTGTCTTTGGCGCGGACGGGGGAGGAGGCTGTGTTGTCGCCTCTGGCGTCTCGTCTGCTGCTGCTCCTGCCGCGGGTTGTGCCTGTGTCGTTTGCGCCGTGGGAGCTGCTGCTGCTGCTGCTGCTGCTGCTGCTGCTGAACCGTCACCGTCACCCGGCTCACCCTCGCCTTCACCTGCCGTCAGTGACGCATTCGCCATCGCCGCCGTCGTAGCCCTCGTCTTTGCCTCGCCATCGTCGTCGTCGTCTTGTTGCGAGGGGCTCGTTGCGCGGGACCGTTTCGCGGCGGGGGGTCGGGACTCGGGTTCGGTTGCTAGGTCGTCTTGTGCGGCGCGTTTGGGGGATGTCGGGGGGGCGGCGTTGGTGGAGGTGTCGTCTGGGATTGACATCTTGGGAGGAGGAGGAGTAGGGAAGCCGGCGGTTCGGTCGACTGTTTCTCGGTTCTGGAGAGGGCGAAGGGAAGGGGGGGGTTGGAGGAGGTTGTCGCTGGGCGAAGAACGAGTGTCGTGGGAGAGTGTCCGTTTGCTGGCTGGGAAGTTGCTCTCCGTTGTCGGGTATGTTGCGTCGATGTTCAATGGTTGCTCTGTCGCTCTCCGAAAAGGAAAAAAAAAAAAAAAAAAGAGTAAATACGGATAAAGTGCTGACTAGAGACAAGGGTAAGGACAAGCCTTTGCGATTCAGGGTACGGATAGGTAGGTAATGTAAGGTGGTCAAGGATCGAGATAACGTCGTTGGACGCTTTGAGTAACGATAACCCCGCGTTCCTTTTTTCTTTTCTTTTTTTCTTTCTGTCTTCTTTCCTTTTTTTATGCCAGTTGGGTTGCGAGAGACTTCTCTGCTTTGGGCTCCTTTTCGAAACTTTTTTCTGCCGTCTGTCCGTTTGACGATTTTCCGGCGGGGCGTTTTCCTCCATAATACCTTGGTTCCTTAAAACCTTGGGCGGTGAACAGCCCCTTGACCGCCAAAATACCTTACCTTAGCTGTCCCCGAGCTCCCCACAAAAGCCTTCACTTCATGGAAATCGGGAATTCCACGGACCAACCCGAGGGGTTCCATGAGTGGCAGTTTTCTGCGTCATTCTTCTCCAGCTGTCCGAACCCCCCCTGGCACTGACTGAGTGGTCCACCGTCCACCGTTCACTGACCCTGACCCCCAAGAAAGGACAGGGCCCAAAATTGACCAATTCCCGCAGAGAGCCTCGATGATTGGTAATGCAACGCCTCGGAATTGAGAGGCATGTGCAAAAAAAGTGGAAAGCTCTTTCCAGTTTTGTCAACCTTTTTCCTCGCGCTGTAATTTGCCTGCTGTCAAAATTCAAAGGTTCCGTCACCGGATGTAATGCCGAGGTGTGAGGTTTGGTAAATTTGTACGGATACGTCTGAATAATCAACATTTTCGACAATACATCTTCCCACAACATTTACGACTTTTCTCCTCACTCTTGGACGACCAAAAACCTTCGCCCTCGACATTGTATATTCGGTCAACAACGACGATAGCGACGAATCATCGGATCGGAGAGACCCCGACGGCCACCAAACACATTAAATCTTTCGCCACAATGTCATCCTACAGAGCAACGAGGACGGCCCTCCGCGCTGTCGCGCGCACATCGAGGCTCGCCACCTCCAGACCCTCACAATCGCGATCCTTCGCCAGCGTACACACCGGCTTCCTCCAAAACAACCAAACATCACAACGCCGCCCGACGGCAACAACAAGTCGACACCAACAATCCCTCCAGCTACAATCCCCCTTTGCCGCCCGCACCGGCGCCGTCCGCACAATCTTCATCCAGACCGAAAACACGCCCAACCCAGACGCCGTAAAGTTCCTCCCGAACCACCGCATCCTCCCCGACACCCTCTCCACCCCCTTCATCGAGTACCTCAACCCGCGCTCCACCATCGCGCCGCCCTACCCGTCCCCGCTCGCCGCCCAGCTCATGAACATTGACGGCGTCACCTCGGTCTTCTACGGCGCCGACTTCATCACCGTCAACAAATCCCCCGACGCGAACTGGGCACACATCCGCCCGGAGATCTTCGCCCTCATCACCGAGGCTATCACCTCGGGCCAGACCATCGTCACCGTCTCGGCAGACAAGGAAGGCGGTGTCGGTGCGGCCGCCGACGGCGCCCCCGAGGAGCCCGATAGTTTGGCGTACGATGAGAACGACAGCGAGGTTGTCGGCATGATCAAGGAGCTTCTCGAGACGAGGATACGGCCTGCTATCCAGGAGGACGGCGGCGATATCGAGTTCCGCGGGTTCACGGACGAGGGTACCGTGCTGCTGAAGCTTCGCGGTGCGTGCCGGACGTGCGATTCTAGCACCGTGACGTTGAAGAATGGTATTGAGAGCATGCTGATGCATTATGTAAGTTGACTCAACATCTGTGGTTCTTGGGAGGTTTCCTGGAGATTTCCTGCAAAGTGCCCCCCGAATAACCGTAGATCATACGTGCTGACGTTGGCATATCCAGATTGAGGAGGTCAAGTCCGTCGAGCAGATCCTCGACCAGGAGGAGGAGATTGCCATCCAAGAATTTGCAAAGTTTGAGGAGAAGCTCAAGTCCCAAAAGGGACCCGAGGCGACCGCGGCATAAACAGTAGCACGCTCGAATGCGATATGAGGAAGACTGTCCAGAAGTGGTTCCCAAACACTTCTCAGAATGACGAAACAATAAGATATCGAGGAGGCGCACGATACCTGTAGAACTGCTGTATAATTAAAGAGAAACGTTTCATCCGGCTTCAACCCGGTGACGGAGACAATACCCACTACCAAAAGCGTACACTGCTATTCCTTCATCGCAGCCTCGTCCACGTCTACGTAGGGTTACGCCAGCCTCGCATAGTCGAGGTGTGCACAGATAATGAATGACCTGGTCCGAGACCTACCTCGCAAACCGCTATCGCTGAGCCTCGTGTTCGGTCGGATATGATGCCTCACTGACCCGGAATGGGCTGCGTCGCCTCGAACGTAAAGGAAAGAAAAAAAGTCAAGTTCCGAGCCGGGGCCGGTCTAGGTCTAGATGGATGACGATCTGGGCGAGCCTATGAGGGCCTGTTGCGCACAACCCTACCACCGGCGGCGTCAAGTCAGATTGCAGAATTCAGACAAATGCCGTCGACAATGCGAGTAAAGATCATCCATGGCCTGCTAAACCCTAGCCAGCCGCGTTCGAGATCAGTATCCGTCGTAACGAAATGCGCAGGCCCAGCAGGGTTGGCGGAGGGTTTTCCCTATTGCCCTCGTCCTGATTGGACTCTGGCCCCAACCAAGGGTTGCTGCAGCGGATCAGGGCGGGGGGCCGGGGGTGGTCGTTCCCGTACAGGAACCCCTCATGGAATCATCGAAACCCCTCAACTCTCTTGCGTCTTGACGTCCCCACGGTTGAGCAATTCTGAGAGTGGTTTTAACGTTCACTCCCTTTCGTCTGCCGTACCTCATCAGAACGGCCATCTCCGTCTTGTTTCCCACCCCTCTTTCTCTCCTTAAACAGGCCTCGGAGGTCAACGTCAACGGCCCACCGAATTCCTGGCTCGTCTTTTCTGCTCGGTCAAGTTTAGGTTCCTTGACTTCCGCTGATCTCGTGCCGCATCTCCTCATCATCATGCCAGTCTGCCGGGTGCATGCCTGTCCCGTCTCTGCCTCCGCACCGAGTACCACCAGTGCCCCCTAGAAAACGATTGGCAGGCCCCTGTTGACGTTGCTACAATATCGCAGTACAGAATTAGTTGCGAACAGCAACCCATGGTATTGATGCCGACTTACACTGTAATCTGAGGCAGACCAGATGCAAGAGCGGAACAGTTGCGGTCGCGCCAGGTGGGCCAGGAGAGGACCGATCTTGGAGACCCTAAGTATCCGTCTTTAGTTGCAGTAGCGCCGCTTGGTGGGCAGCAACTTCGAAGAAACCCAACATTCCAAGGTCAAACTTCCAGATGATTCCCTTCAAGATCCGCGTACGGATAGGTGCTCCCAGGTTGTGAATGTTTGACGTCCGCTCAGACGGTTTTCTGGCCACTTTTTGACTTCTGGCTTCTTGGGGAGCCGTTGCAGCAGCCGCTCACGGTTGAGTTTAATGACAAGATGATAATCCGGGGTAAAGCCCCCTGGCTGATTTTGACTTTCGCCCTCCATCGGTGTCGTCGATCTCCAGTGACGGTGCGGTACGTTGCGTTTCGTTGCCGTCTTTGATGGTCGCATTTGTAGACCACCAGATCATCCTATCAACTGCAGAGAATACCTGGGTATATCTCGTCATCTTCGTATACGTGATATAGATCGGGCTGCTAGGTCTCAAGCTCGGCGCATCGTCCAAAACTGAAGCGCGACGCTCAGTCTCACTCTTACCAGGGTGTGGTTGATAGACAGGCTGCATTTCAGGAGTAGAAAGGTATTCAAATGGCCAAAGGAAACCCTCCAATGTCTGATGCGTTCATTTTCTCCTCATAGCTGGTCGATGGAATCGAAATGCGTGATTCTGCGCATCTAGTAGTGCGTCGACCTAGAGGCGGAACCTCATCCGTGGTCGCATTTATCTCAAAGACGCACCAGACATTGTCTCCGCCCACCGGTTGCCGGCAGTGCGTTCCTTCATCGTCGTCAATACTGCTTACCCGGGTTCACATCTGATTCGATATCGAAAGTTCCGACCCGTGCCATACGCCTAGAGTCTGGATGATGCCACTGTGAGGTCAGTGAGACAGTCAAATCGAAGAAGCCTTTGAAGATGAAGGAGGTTAGCTTGAGCATGGCGCGCGTGACATGCTGCAGCAGCCCGTTTACTCCACAGATCCTTACCCCTCCTCGGTCTCGGAGAAGTGCCCTGAACCCAGACCTCCATCGCCAAACCTTCTGCCTGCATCTGCACATGCACCTCTGCCTCTAGTGGTGCCTCCCTTTGGCATCAGAGATGGTAGGTAGTTATAGTCTCCTATAGGTCATTGACCGGCGATACTCAGTGCAAAAGCTGGTCCGTCATCTCGTGGGTCGTAGTCCTCTCCCCCTTTGCCGGTAGTAGCGGCCGTGGCTCCAGATTTCTCGCATCATGGCACTTGGGACCTTGACTCCTCTTCAGCTGATACTTGTGGAACAGGGTCTCAGCAACTTGGAGGCGTCTCATACTGATATTAAGTGGCGTAGACTGAAAGACGTTTCCTTGTACCTTGTCGCCTTGTTTGTAGCGGAACGTGAGCCCACGGACATTTGTAGAACATGGATCTAGTGCGGGGTGGTGAGGGATGAGGACCGATGGCAAGCTGCAGAATTACAGCCACCCTTGCAACTTTCAACGGCAAACCTCTAAACTTTCCAGGGAAACCGCCATGCGAACATCGACCGTGGCTCCCGCTGCCGTACAAAGTGTTACCGGACATGATGGCGCGTGCTCTATGTTGCGTTCAAGAAACAGACGTATTTGGATCACGACTGTGTCTCACGTACGTCCGCGGCATAGGCCAAGTAGTAGAAGGGTGAGACCCTGCAACGGCGAGACCACCAGATGTTCTTGGGCACTTAGGACGATGGATGCAGTCAACCGGTTGGCTGGCTCGACTTGCTGGTGGTTCGAATATGCTCCTCCTGATTGCAGCGCTATGCCACCGCTGACCGAAGTTGGACTTGGCCATTTGTTGATCAAGGGGCGAAAAGCCGCTAAAGGTTGGAGGATCGGCGATGGGCGAATGGGCTCAGCCTGTTACAGCCGCATAGAGGTCAGATGGCCACTTCATGCCCGGAGGCTGAGGGAAAGCATGCAAGAAGAAAGCTGCAGTGTTAACGGCATCGTCGGGGACCACTCTGACCGCAGGTAGTATCCATGTCGGCGATCCGGAAAAGCTCGTTCCTCGCTCACGCTGGTTTTCCTAGTTGTTTCTATAGTATAGTTTCGCTGAATGATAGTCGCATCTTTAGAAGTTGTTCTTAGCCCTCAGATCCCCCCCCCCCCCCAGGGCCACGGAAGAATGGTGGGCCGAAGGGAACATCGGATGTGCAAACATGACGGTAGCGCCGGAATATATAGAGACAAAACCTTCAATGTAATGTAGGAAGTACGTCGCGCTGGCGAATATATGAAGTATATGCGTGTGCCGCCGTCGACTGGGGTACATGGGCGTACTATGCAGACGTATCACACAACGCTTCTCTGCAGGCATGGCATGTCATGAGCGGGGTGGTGGTGATTGAGGTGATTTGTAGTTGTAGGACTCGAAAGAATCTTATGCGCAAGTGCCATCATTTTCTGCAGACGCGGATGAAGGATTGACCATAGGAGATGGCAGTGCAACCCGCTTTATCCGGGAAGCTTCTTAGTCGTCGAGGCTGGTCTTGATTAAGAACGGAGTAGCGAGGTATCAATATGGATACGGTATTGTTGTATGCCGGTGCTGCGTCTGCCGCGACTTGTCGCCCGAGTCTACTGTATATCGAGGTCTCGGCCGGAGCACGACGAAGTAGTGAGGATTTGATGCGTATGTAATTATGCAGACCGAGGTAGCATCGATGTACGAACAGAGGTCCAGTCATGAACTAGCGAGAAAGAGAGCAAATGAAAGAGGAAGCGCTGAGGTGGAAACAAGATGTCCCCGTCGAGGTGCCACCATGGATTCGGGTGGACGGGGAGGAGCCAAGACGTCGCGAGAGGCTCCCATGTACTTCGTAGGTAGTGTGCATGCTGTTAGTAGGTAGGTACGAAGACCTATCACCAGGCACCTTTGATGGCTTGTTTCCAATTTCGATTCCATCTGTCTGTCATAATGGAAACCAGAGTCCAGTCCGGTAGGCTCTGTTTCCCCGCTTCCTTCCCTCTTGGCCCCCGAAACCCACGATCTGAAGGGGCAGCTCCTGCTCTAGTTGCTGTTGGGTGAACAAAGAAGCAAAGACCTGGAGGACATGATCTGGTTGGTCACTTGCAGACGGGCGGCCCCACTAGCCACAACCCCTGAGCCCTGACAGGCCCGGCCTGGCCTTGCTAGTCCACCCATCCCTGTGTTTCCTGAATTTTGATTGGCAGTAGAATTGAGCAAAAGGTGGGGATTTGCCTGGAGAACAGTGTGGGGAATCGGGAAGATGCTAGGCAGTACGTACCTGCGAATGACCAAGGACGGTTAGCCGGATCCACCGCTTGAGACGGGCACTTTGGTCACACTGTGCCGCCAGAGAGACAGGCATGGCAGGCACCTCCGTCCAGCCTGTTTGTCCTGCCCTCCATGCTCGACGACATTGCGTTTGGAGGATTTTCAGACTGAGATATCTTCCTTCCAGCATTTTACCTATTACCTTACTTGGATACGAAGATAGTAAAATTTCAACTTGGCACCACCCGCACATATGAGGTATAGTGGCAGGCGGACTTTACAACGGCTACACTTCTTCTTTTTCTCGAGCTACTATTGCATTGCCAGAGCTGCCATCCCTTATACGTCTTTTCCACTTTCGGCCTGCTACTCGCGGAACCCCATTCTCTTGCACCAAGTACCTGCATACCCGTTCTCTGTACGGAAATACCAATGGAGAAGTACAACACCACACCCATACCTCACTTTGGCAACCGGATTTCTCTAGCAGCAGTTCTTGGATAACTTCCTTCCATCTTTCCACTTTTTCTGCCCTCGTCGTCTGGGCTATTCTGGCTCCCGCTTGCTGCCACCCTGCAAATTTATCCACCTAAGCAGGTACCTTGGCTTGCAAAGGGTGTCGAGGCTGTTCTCTTGGGCCCTACCACACCGTCGTCTCGCTTTCCGCTGCACACCCTCTTGGATTGCACCTGGGCCACTCAAAACTCTTTGACGGGAAGGGGGGAGCCCTCTAGCTGCCACAGAAAGAAAAGAAAAACGCAAAGAGTGTGTCTCCTTGTTCTAGCTGCCGTTCCATGATTCTTACACATCTCGCAGGTGATTGGGTACCTTCTTCCCCCTTTACCTGCTTCAACAAGCAAGCAGTGCAAGGTGTACATCACTACTTTCTTGGGGCAACCTCAATACAAAGAGGTCTTGCCAGACCAACAGGAGGACCTTGTCCCCTCTACGATATCCCGCAGACTTCAGCAAGTGCTGTTCACAGTCAACGCGTTGATTCTCTTCTTATTGTTACTTCTCTCTTTCTCCAGTGGCGGTCTGAATGCTCTTCATTCCTAGTCCCAGCTTTTGCTACACCCCACTATACATGCGCGGCGACCAAGTGGTCGATTCTGTGGATCGGAAAATGAGTGCACTTTTCTTTCACTTCGCCATGATGGATGCCATCAAATATCGCCAATATTTGATGCGTTCTGTGCATTGGAGTGTTCAAGGCAGTCTTTGCATAACAATATCTTGTTCAACATTGTTGTGCTTCATCAAATCAACGACTTGCAAGGCAACTTGGATGCAGCCTTCCGGCTACCACCTTGCTGCTACGCTGGAGGTCCAAGGTACCATTGCTATCCGGGCATTCCTTTGGATGCTCCTCGGCCTTACCAGAAGTTTGAGAGGGGCACGGAGTAGAAGTGAGGGAAAACAAGTCCGAATACAGAGACAGATAGATACCTACCCTACTCTTTACCTTCACCACAAGGCAGTCGGCAGGGTATGGTTTTCCCCTCACCTCATCCGAGGCCCCCTTTTTTCCTTTTTCTTAGGTTGTCTTGGTTTTTCTCCCCATCTCAGCATCACCGTTGTGCTTCCATCGTCCCGAAGCGTTCCCACTCTCCCGTACGATGATCAACTGGGACCTGCCCACTTGTCCCCTCCACCGATATTAGTCGACTTGATCCACAACCAGCGCGCACACTCCCGTCCCTGACAATCCGTTGACCTCGACAGGTACAGGGCCTCCGGCGCATACCTTACCTCCAGGTTCCGTGCTACCTGCCCGTGCTCTTTCGGGTCTAGGAGCACTGAGGTAGGCTGGGACAGGCATCTGCCCCCCCGAGACCAAAACCAACCAGGGCTTAGCTTGCTCTTCCGTGCGTACCCTTGGCCTGGGGTTAGTGCTGTTCATACAGTGCATGCCGCTCGTGTGGCTTGCAGCGCACACAGACAGGCACACACCAACTCAACCCAAACTCAACTGGACCAAGAGAAGACGGGAGCCCGAGACTTGGGTGGACTGGACTGGACCTGGCTGGCCTGGCCTGGCCTGGGGAAGCTGGAGTTGGAGCTGGAGCAGCTGCTGGAGCTGGATATCGACTGCATTGCATCTCTACTTGAGCGTGCTCTCTCTGTCTCTTTCTCTCTGCAAGTCTGCGCACACTGCATCTGCATTATTACGGAGCACTCCCGTTGCTACCACACTTTTTACTTTACCTCACCTCGAGGTAACTTACCTCCATATTCCAATGCATGACCTGCTTGGCCTTGCTGGAACTGACCCAAACTACCTAAGCCTCTTTTCCCACTACGCCCTATCCCATCATTGCCTTAGGTACCCTGCCCTTACTTGTGTGGTAGGTACCTTATTGGAACACCTCTTCAGATCGGGCCCCCTCTCGTCTCTTCTTTACTCCCATCGCGACGACGACCTCTTGACCTCGCATCGTCTTATTAGCGAGCTACGGATACCTTGTCCAGCTCCGCCTACCATACATCCATCCATAGGTACGCACATACACACACCACTCACTCACTCACTCACACACACACACACACCACCCATACCTACCTTACCTACACCCATCCATCTATACCCCATACTTCCACACACACACACACACACACACACCACACTCATTCAGGTCGCCCTTCTCCTCTCCTCAACCCAACTCAACTACCCTCACTGTGCCCGCGGTTTGTGTGTCGTCAGGTGGCAAGCTACCTCCCCCTCAGTCATCCTGTCTCTCACACTCTCGCCTGGTGGCCCTATTCCTTGACCTCACCTTACCTTACGGACACCCTGAACCGGACCCCTTCTCTCTCTCATAGGTACGCACCAGCCACTTGGACAAGCTTCTGGTCTCGTGTCGCAGTCGCAACGTCTTTCTCCTCCCCCGCTTCCGTCAACGTACTACAACTGTGACCTCTTTCCATCCTCCTCAAACCTCTCCAACACTCTTCTCGTCTGTTCTCCTTCTTCCCCCTCTCCGTGCTTCTCCTCATCTGTCCTTCAAGCCCGTCGCACCCCAAAGGATCGAGGGCGCCGCCCAAGACATTCTTCTTTCTCATCCCCCCTTCCAGCATCCACATCTACATCCACAGCTTCCACCCGCATTCCACTTTGCGATCGCTGTTCATCCACTACGCGACGACAATGGGCTGCGCGTAACCTGCCTGCTCTCACTCTTGTCGCATTACCATTCCGTTCCTCCTCCGCCACTAACGAACGGCATCGCACCTCGATTCTAGACGGTACGGATACGCATACAATACAACACGCGCGCGCAGCACACGCATAGCTTCTCCATTCGACGACAGCCCCAGCTTTGCTGCGTGACCCCTCGCCGTACACCACGTTGATTATTTTCCTTTGGGCAACTTTGGGTCTGGGTTAGACGAACTGGTTTAGACGACTTTTCGCGCTTTTTTCGGCTCCCGTTTTACGCGCGCCATAATCATCTTGCTTCATCGCCATCTCTCGCTCTCTCGACGCTCTCACTCACCCACTCTCTCCCACTCACTCACTCCCTCAACCCCCTTCGACCAACGACTTCACAGCCTGGTCACTGTGCGGACTACCTTTTCTCTTTCCCTGCAACGGCACATCGCGACTCCTCTCAGGGCAGCATTTCTCCATAACGCCTCGACCCGACTCGCCTTGCCGCGCCACGCATCAGTCGTCACCTACGAGCCTCTGCCGCGCCTTCCCACATCGATTTCGCCTCGGTCACCCGATCAGATTGTTTCCTCAGCATCTAGAAATTGCAACATTTGATACCCTGGCGATAGATCTACCCGGTTTCCCGCAGTTCGGTACGTACCCTGTTTTCACTCGTCTGCTGTACGAATCACACGCTTCATGTCGCAAGGCTGCTGCTGTCTGGCGGAAAACCCTCCGAAGACAAGCTCCACTGCCTTTCCTTGGGTACATTTCGTCGTGTCTGTCTGATTCTGTCTGAGTGCGACTGCCTCACGCGTGTCACCCAGCGCTGCCCAAGCTCAGATCCCCGTCTTCCCTCGGCACCTTGGCGAGATCACCTCGACATCGTGGTCTACCACAAGATTCTGTACTCGCTCACATTCGCATTTTTGTCTTCTCATCAAGTATTTGCCCACTTTACCCTTTCGTGCGCCAGGCCTCGAACGTCTCTGTCTCGTGGCTCGTGGCTCGTGGCTCGGACCTCGTGGCGCCTTCCAACTGCCCTTCGCCAGTTGCTGTCAGCTTTGACCTGCAGCGCAAGCCGCAGCTCGCCGTGACACCCAAAGCTGGTTGCGGCGAAACTCGTCTCTTTCATCTTGTCTCACAGCGCTTGCCTTTAACGTTTGATGACCTAGCTGCTAACTCAACTGCTAGTCTCATTCGGAGTTTACCGCCTTTCATCCTTCTTTCAAGAACACCTGACCAAGCTTCGTCAGCCCATCACTTACTTTTCTCCCGTTTGAACAAATCGTTTCTCTAAAGTCCCCAAAAAGCTATCAAGCAGCTCACCTCTGTCAATTTCAGTAATTGATCAGGTACTCAGAAGTGGACCGGACTTTCCGTTTTTCCATCGGGAGGCAACAATAGGTGGACAATGAGTTCTGGTACGGGAAGTACTAGCAACGCCAAACCCGGCCCGTCTTCCAAACAGGGTCAGGGCACTTTCTCCGCAGTGAACAGCCACGCCATTCTTCTTGATAAGCTTAACCGTCGATCAACGCCCGACTCTGAAGCTTTAGCCAGCTCAGACGACGAGGCTGATTCTCATCGCCAAGAGCCACCTCAGCAGACGCAACCTCAGAAGCCTGTCAGAAGAGCTTCTTGGCTCAACGATACTACTCAACCGCTGCCTCGACCCCGAAAAGGTTCATTCGCGAGCAGCTCCATGTCTCCTACGGCTTCTCACCCAAGCACCCCTTCCGCGGAAGGAAACGCGCCTTGGAGCACTCACACCCAGTCATCCGGCGTCATGGGTCGCGCTCCTGTTCCGGGAGCCTCCTTCACCTGGGGCACCGGTATCTGGAACAACGAGAGAAAGGATCCTCCCTCGCGTCTGAGTGAGGTTTTGCCCTCGCCCACATCGACTATGCCACCTGGATCAGCTGGAGGCTCCTTTTTCAACCCCGATAGCTATGGACAGACATCTCCTGCACCGCGAGACTCTGGCCCCAATGCTCAAATCCCCTTCGCGATCCCCCTTCACCCTACGCCTAAGACGTACCGTTCTCAGTCGTACTCAGTTGGTCAATTGGAACCCGACGCGCCTCCGGCCGCTATGAGCAGCTCCACGATTCTTGGTCGCGGACGTGCCCATGGACACTCTGGCCTGCAGCACCGGCCTTCCCGGCCCAGCATGCTGAGTGAGATGTCGAACGAGGGAGGCCTGCTTGGAAAGGTCAAGGAGGTGGATGACGACGACGATGAGAGTGCGACAGAATCAATGCAGAGTTCAATGCATCAGTCTGCTGAGGCGAAGACCATCGAGCTGCTTGCTCGCGAGAATGCGATGCTGCGTCAACAACAACAAGCGCAGCAGCAGCAACAACAGCAGCAACAGCAGCAGCAGCAGCAGCAGCAGTATCAGAACCGACTCCGTCCTAGAGCTTCCACCGGAGCTGCGTACGGTCTTGGTAATGGTTACACCTTGCGCGAGGCCGTTCCCGAGGAATCTGACTTTGCCATCGACGAACTTGATGAGGCCAATGACGGCAGTGAGATGGCGGCGAAAAGAGCTCTGGGTCGTAGAATGAGCGAGTTCGGGGCGTCAGGGTTCCGCTCGCCGTACGAGAACAGAAAGTTGGAGAACGTTAAGAAGGCATTCTGGCACAGCTCTCTCGGTTTTGGCGGTCCTGAAGGCCAGCAGAGCCGCAGGCACTCATTTGCGGATATTCCTACCCGCCAAGGTTCCATCAGCTCCATCAACGAGTCTTTCAACGCGCTCGACACCCCCATTGCTGAGCAGCCGCAACCCCAGGACTATTCCTTGGCCTATTCGGAAAACCAGAACTACCCCCTCGGCAACACAGGTAAGTTGGGCTATTACTTTGGCATGAATCAAGCTGACTCATAGATAAAGCTGCTTACTTTACTCCCGGTGGAGGTCTTGCTGCTCCCCCCCAGAGCATGCAGTTCAACAACACTTTCCCATCGGCCTACTCGATGCACCCTCCTTATGGAAACCGTGCACCTTCGCCCCATCGCAATGTGTATGCCATGTCGCAGCCGCGCCACAACCAGCTGCTTCACATTGTCTTGTTCAAGTGCGCTAGAGCGGATGTCTTCTACATCCAGGAGGGTACCGGCTTGACCGTGAAGCCCGGTGATCTCGTCATCGTCGAAGCTGATCGAGGAACTGACTTGGGCACTGTCGCCCGCGACAATGTCGACTGGCAAACTGCCAAGGAGCTCAAGGAGCATTACGCAGAGGAGCAGTACAAGTGGCTGATGATGTATTCTCAGAATGCCGCTGCTGCCCAGGATGGTACAGGAGCTGGCCTTATGGCGGCCGCAAATGGTCTCCAGGGCAGCGCTGTTGGCGGAATGGGCCCGCCTAATCAGCATGGTCATATGCAGGAACCCAATGCTGGAGAGCTTAAGCCTAAGCTCATCAAGCGCCTGGCACAGAGTCACGAGATCCACGCCTTGCGGGACAAGGAGGGCAACGAGGCCAAGGCCAAGCGAGTCTGCATGCAAAAGGTCAAGGAGCATGGACTGAACATGGAGATTCTCGATGCCGAGTTCCAAATGTAAGTGTCTGGACGAACCTGACGAACAGAGGTGAGACTAACTGCGCACAGGGATTGGAAGAAGCTGACATTCTACTACTTCGCTGATTCGTACATCAACTTCAATTCGCTCGTTACGGATCTGTTCAAGATCTACAAGACCAGAATCTGGATGTCGGCCATCAACCCGGCATCCTTCGCCAGTCCCACCTTGGGTATTCAGGCGCCTAGCGGCGTCGGACCCGGAGCGGTTGGCGTGGGTCGCGGTGGATCGAACAATTCCGAGCGACGCTCCGCGCAGCAGCAACAGCAGCAGAACCAGGAACAGCACTCGGGAGGATTCGGTGGTTCAGGTCCACCTGGCCGTGGATTCCAGAACTCATTCACCCCGCCGTTTGGTGAAAGGCCTGGAGGTCCGGCCGGTGGCTACGGTCAACCGAATTATCCCTATTCGCACATGGGCGGCATGGGCACTGCGCCCAGGCCTGGAAACATGCCCTACGTCCCTGGTGTTGTTCCGTCGCTCGATAGCTACAGCTTCCCTGGCGCAGCTGACTATCAGATACGATCCCGCTTCCAGCCGGGAACAGACGGACCTGGCCCGCATGAGTCAGGTGTGGGCCCGATGAACACTCAGAGTGAATGGGCTACCGCATTTCAGGGCCTTTCCTTGAACAGTCGCTGATGATACAGGCGCCTGACGTTGGAAACGGCCACGATATTGGTTCCTCATGTTCCACCGCGAACTCGACCTTCTCAACGGGCATTTCATATCCGTTCGTCGTTCGGCGAATTCTTACCAACTGTCGGCCCAGCGGCTTATCGTACGTTTTTACGATTGGCATGGTTGTGGCATTGTAAGCATAGCCTGGGCTGCAGAGTCTGGCAACACTTTTTTTTATTTCCTCTTCTCACTGTCGGAGTTGGACGGCTTCAAACTTTTTGTTTTTAAATTGCCAAAAACTGGCGGGACCTTTGTGCTTCTTTCGGACAGAAAAAAGAAGACATAAAGGACGAAAAAATGGGAAGACATGCTGGATCCCCAAACACCTTCATTTTCACTTTTACTCTACAGGCTTGTTTCGAGACTTTGCAATTACGGCCTAATTTCCCACCAGCACAACCCCCAATTCATGATGAATGAGAGATTCAAGAGGAGATTGAGAGACTTTCACTACCACTCAGGGCACTACCGTCATAGACAGAGAGACTTGTTTTTTACTTTTTTTCCACACAAGCATGGTGTAACCCGAGACTAAAAAAAAAGGGACTTGTGTTTCTGGGTAATGGGCCAATGTCGGATTCTTGTACGAAAAATCTTGCTTTTCCGTCGACTTTTAGGTATTTGAGAATATGAGGGCCGGAAATTCAATGCCTTTCTATTCTAATGTTTCTGTGACGTACCCATCCCTCACTGCCTGTCTCTCAAGGACCATCTCTATCAATGACTTGGAGGAACTTCCTATGGCATCTGCCTGGAACGTGATAAGACCATCGAAGCTAATTTCGAGCGTAAGCCTCAGAGCCTAGAGTTTTGGAACATGTTTTCGGATTGGAAAATTCAATAAGAGTGCGTGTAGAGAAGAGATGAAAGCCTGAAAGGTTTGGACAAATAGGCAAGCTGGGCTGGATGAAAGAATGTAACCGCAAGGTAGGATAGACGAGACGGGCTGATAGTCTAGTAGCCATGTATCACCACGTCGCTGCAAGTCACTTGGAGTTTTCCATTGAGTATGACGGAGACATTGCAAACTCATTTGCCGTTCTCCGTCTAGACCCTTCCCAGATTTTGTGAAATGGCAGGGAGGGTAGACTTTAGAAATAAAATCTGCACCGAATGGCGATGAGCGTGTAAGTCGAAATCGAAATGATCATCAACTTATGAGGTAGTCAAAGTCTCACCGATAGGCCGTTCATGGCTGCGAAGAATCATACTGGTCCCACAGTTTCCCTAAATGTGCCTGTTAGAAGAAATCCTTCCATCTCTACGCCTAAGCACACCGAGCTCACTTCACCGAGGGAATGCCACACACCGAGACGCGAGCCCCATAATTAGGTTCGGGGCAAGCCCAGCCCCAGCTGAGCTAGCCGTTTCAGGACTAGTACGACCGCACAAACTCTACCCTTCCTCGATTTTTCCCCTTCCACTCAAACATTTCTCAATTGTCGTCCAATTCATCAACACCACCACCAAAACCTCGGCAGCCGGATTTTACGTGAACAGCTGGTTTGTCCCCCCTCCCCCCGTTCCTTTTCTTCGATAACCTTTGTCGCTCTCTTCTTTTCTCAATCATCACCACATCTACCAAAACCGAAGAGGCTAACCTGACGCCGTCGCCGCAGTCAAAATGGGTGCCCTCAAGTATGTCGAAGAGCTCCAGAAGAAGAAGCAGTCCGATGTGATGCGCTTCCTTCTGCGTGTTCGCTGCTGGGAAGTACGTTGAAACCACCCGATTCCGATACCATGTGGACGCACGACAAAGTTCAATTCTCCTCGATCTCGCTTCTCTCTCGATCAACCCCCGAACCCGAAAATTTTCGATGCTGGATTCCTTTCTATTGAGGGGTCTCGAGGTTCAAAATTTCTCGGTTTGAGGGTATCATGAGGGACTAGTGGAGACTTGGGGGGAAAACTTTGCGTTCCTGCTATACACTCGTTGAACATTTGCTGAGAGTGCATCAATATAGCTCCGACAGCTGAATGTCATCCACCGCGCCTCGCGTCCCTCGCGCCCCGACAAGGCTCGCCGCCTCGGTTACAAGGCCAAGCAGGGCTACGTTATCTACCGTGCCCGCGTCCGCCGTGGAGGCCGCAAGAAGCCCGTCGCCAAGGGTGCCACCTTCGGTACGTTGCGAATCCTTAACGAGAGGGAAACAGTCTGCGTCTCTTGAGGACCGAGCTGGTTCCCCCTCATACGACACTCTTGCCAGCGAGAGGGACGAATTTGCTAACGGGAATGGAATCATACAGGCAAGCCCACCAACCAGGGTGTCAACCAGCTCAAGTACCAGCGCTCCCTCGCCTCCACCGCCGAGGAGCGTGTCGGCCGCCGCTGCGCCAACTTGCGCGTCCTCAACTCGTACTGGGTTAACCAGGACTCCACCTACAAGTACTACGAGGTCATCCTCGTCGACCCCCAGCACAAGGCCATCCGCCAGGACCCCCGCATCAACTGGATCGTCGCCCCCGTCCACAAGCACCGCGAGGCTCGCGGTCTCACCGCCACCGGCAAGAAGTCCCGCGGCCTCAACAAGGGCCACCGCTACAACAAGACCCAGGCCGGCCGCAGAAAGACCTGGAAGCGCCACAACACCCTGTCCCTGTGGCGCTACCGGTAAACGGTTTCGCCCACTCGCACTGGACGATTCTGAAAAGGCTACCGGGCCACTCGCGTACCACGACTGTCTTACTACGAGTACGGCTTCGGCTGCCAGGTGTGGTGTTCGCGGAGGACACGACGACGGCGGTGGATCATCATCATCATGGAAGGTATTCGGGATTTGGCCACTACTTTCACGACTTGGGAAAGCACTTGATATCATGCGCTGGAGTGTTCTTCTTCCTCTGGCTTGAGTCCCAGAGGTCAAAAAGGCTCAATCGATACGAAAAATGGAACACAACTTTTTCGAGGTTCTTAACTTGAAAAAAGCTTGGAGGGCTCGGCGTACAAATGATGAATTATGTGATTTCAATGTGATACACTTGAACAAAAGTTGTCTCCTCTACTCGATCCTAGTGCTACATGCGATTTCGTTCTGTTCTTGTGTCTAAATCTCATCCGTGCAACGAGGATGTTTCTCCCGCCCTCATTAATATTACTTCTGTCCTGCCATAATGTGTACAAGGCGAATACTACAACTCAATGTGCAACTTACACAGTGGACTGTTGCCCCTTTCAACTGCATTTTCTGTACTGAAAATTTCAACCAGGGTTTCGACGGTGTGGGGACTGGTAGCGATTCAAAATGGATACGACTGCGGAGACCATCGTGTGATGATTCCCTTAGGTCACTCTCTCAAAGCCCACGACCTCAATTCTTACATCCCCTAGGCTTGCGATGCTCCTAAATAGACTCCCCGTCAGACACCTGAAAGGGCAGTGTTTCTCATTATTACGGCGTATGGTCAAGACGGAATTGATAACAAAGCTTTATAATTATGACTGATCCCTCAATCGTGCATCTACTTCTGTTTAATGCCTGATAATCGATTGCTGGTCATGATCAGTGAAGAAAGATTCCTAAATCTCATGTTCCTCGCCGTACACCGTGCCGTCGTGTCGGGTATTTTTTCAAAGCCAAACTAAATCATCCGTGAAACGCCGTTCCACCCTGCCTAAGAGGGATGTATATTCTGTAATACCAAGGCTGCTGTGAAGTCCGTTGATTTCAATCTCATCGAGACATAGAAGAATGTCGTGTGCGAGCAACATCCGCCACTCTTTAGAAGCGGCTCACGTTGCTGGCCAGGCTGTACTTGGTATGACGGTGGCCAGCCATGGCGGGGTGCAGAGCAGTAGCCGGACGAGAGATATCGGGCATAATGGGGCTGCGGCGGGATTCATCGTAGTCAGGCTCTGATTCGTGGCCCTGCTCGACATCGTGAGCGATAGGGTGGCTGATGTTGGGACGAGGGCTGGTATCGTCGTTGGTTTTTCTCCAAGGAGTGAACTTCTGCGTGAGGCGCTTGAACTTGTTGTTTGGCTTCTCGTTGCGAATCGAGTTGCTTCTGACAGAGTATCCGTCAGCGTACGAGTTCTTGCCGGAGGCAAGGGTGCCGTCACTGCGAATGTTGCGGGCGTTGATGCCGTTGCTGCCATCCCGGAAGACAATGGACGAGATGATGTTGAAGAAACCAAACGTGATGGCCAGAATGCCCGAGGCGAGGATGAGACGCCAGAGAGGAAGACCAATAGTCTCAACAGAGTAGGCGGGCACCGTGATACCCCCAAGAATGTGGCAGCCCATGACGACCATGGCGATTCCCAGCCAGCTGAGGCCATGCTCGGGGGACAGGGTCGGCCAGTTGCGCATGAAGTAGGCGCGGAAGACGTTTAGCTCGGAGACAATGAGGAAAATGGCGAAGCAGAAGGTGAAGAAGCGGGAGGCCGAATCGAAGAAGGCAAAGTTGCCCTTGAGAATGGACATAACGATCATGGTCCAGGTGGCGGCGCTGACAGCCAAGAGGCCGATGATATTGAACGCTCGGAAGACGTTGAGGATCAAGTGACCTGAGCCACGAAGGCTGGAGTTTTCAGAGAGGTTGAACATTTTTTGATTGTAGTTGAAGGACAGCAATTGCGACGTTTTCGGTTTTTCAAGGCAGCCGTATGTGTTTGAGTACTCGGTAGCTCTGGTGAAGAGTATCGAGGTCCTGGGGTAGCATTAGTGACGAGTCCGAGATCGACCAAGGGCGAACCACCATACAAGTAAGGAGAGTATTGAGTGAATAGCGGCTGGTAATGAGCTCGGTAGCGATGAGGTCCGTAGCAAAACTTCGGTCAGTCCAAGCTGACGAGGTAATCCAAGCGACTGGTGATTCGATGGTAGAGTATCGAGCGCGAGGGTACGATTAGAGACGAGTAGGAAATATTCCCGGAAACCAGTCCAGGAGAGTTAGCGTTATAGAGAAAGTGTTGATGTCTTCACAAAGGAAGGAGACAAGGCGACGAGAGTATGAGGAGG